GTTGCCAATACCAATGGGAATGTTACCCCTCATGCTGCAATTGAATAAATAAAGATATTGAAGCGACGATGTAGAGCAATTCCGAAAGGAATCATCAAGTCTGGCATTTAACGGATTAGCTGTCAAGGATAATAATGTCAAATTTCCAAGATTAGCCAAACAAGAGAGAGTGGAAGTATCAATCGTCAAATTATTCATGAATAACTTAAGCGACTGAAGGTTTGTTAAGGCACATAACGTGCTAGGAATAAACCCTGTAAATGAGTTTTGCCCCAAATCAAGCCCCGTGAGCATAGAAGCATTGGATAGGTTTGGGATTACTCCGCTAAGGTCATTTGCTGATAAATAAAGCTCTTGTAGGTTTGGAAGCCCAAGACCTAAGTTTGCTTGGAGGCTACCCGATAGCTGATTAAAAGAAAGCGACAGTTCTATGAGGGTGGAGATATTGAATATTGAGGACCATGGAATAGTGCCTGCCAGTGCCACAATGTCACAATCCTATCTACAACAATTTCAGTATATATGGATTTATGTAACCTAATCTAACCCTATCTAATCGTTCATGACTTTTAGTATAAAATGTCACATCATAATATTAATTCATACAACAATTTTTAAACAGAAATCTCTAAAAATAAAATAAAAGTCCTAAATAGATTTGTCTTTTGAAACAAAAGACGTTTGAGGTTGCATGTCCTTATACTTCTTTTTTTCTTATGTTGGTTAACCTCAGATTTGAACATATTGACTTAGATAGAGCGTTTATTAGGCAAGTCAATATGTTATATTCATGATTGTAAACCTTGCTATTCGATTCTAATGAATTTTCCAACGATTTTGACAACAACAAAAAATTGTTATATTCATGATTAACTATCTCCCTCATTTACTAAAATATGAAATAGTTAAATAACAATAAATTATGCAACCAAAATAAAAAAGATAAATCATAATTGGATCAACATAATGAAATATCAATTACCCGTCAAATTGTTGGAGAAGAGGGATATCTCCTTTATCATTGTTAAGTTCCCAATATTCTTTGGTATGCTTCCACTGAAATTGTTTTCCCCCAAATAAAGTCTAAGAAGCTCTCTGCATTGCCATAATTTGGATGGAAGTGGACCATCAAACTGGTTGCCAGCCAAACTCAAGTGTTGAAGACTAGGAAGATGTTGGCATATATTGTCTGGAAGACCACCACTCAAACTGTTTACAGCTAGAGCCAACGTAGTCAAACAAGACATATTGAAAACAACCACAGGAACAGGGCCTTTGAGGGCATTACGCTGCACATACAACGTCTCCAGCTGATGTAAAAAGCCAATCTCTTTTGGAATTTCTGAAAAAATCATTAAGATATATGCACATTTATATGTTAAACTCATGTTTTATGCACATATAATGCACTGCAACAAAAGCCGAGTCATATATAATTGTATCATATCAAGGCAATGCAACAAATATATATACCATTGAAATTGTTGGAGTCAAGATTTATCGTCTTCAACATTGTTAAGTTCCCTATTTCTCTAGGTATTGCACCTGTTAAGTATGCCAAACAAAGACTCAGAATACATGTAAATAAATGAAATTAGAAAAACCCCACATTACATAATTTATAGAAAAGCTGTTAGAGTGGCTATTTTTGGAGGAAAAAAAAAACTCTCAACTAGTCACTTGGTCACTTTCTAATTGGTTTATTAGTATGTTACAATTTTTTCACTTGAAGGTACAATATGGAATTTTTCTACAGTATTAGATTTGAAGGGTGTTTTTTATATTTATAAAATATTATGTTAGGATGGGCCTCCATTTGAAAAAGGTCATAAATATTCCCGATTATTTACAATCTATCATCTATGTTTTATCATTTGTAGCCTACAACATGTACTCACTAGTTTCATAAATGTAAGTTTTGTAAAAACTTTGAGTATATAAAAAAAAAAACAACAACAACAACATAGACTCAACCGTTCTTAAAATTAAAAACCAAATACATAATCTATTCAAGTGAGAGTTTTTGAGTATTGGATGACCTGCAAGTAGGAAAAAAGTAGCATAATTTTCTAAAGAAAAAAAAAACATATTAGGCTTATAGATTAATAACAAGATGTTGAAACATACGTACCTGATAGTATGTTAACCCTTAGATCAAGTACTTGCAATGTAGATAAGTTGAAAATAGTCGTGGGTATAGAACCTGAAAACTGATTGCCACGCAAATTGATACTTTGAAGTTTGGGGAAGGACCCAAACCACGATGGAATATATCCCATAAAATTGTTGAATTTGAAGCTAATAAACTTGAGGCGACGCAAATAAGACAATTCATGGGGCAGGGTGTCATGAAAACTGTTGTTTCTTAAATCCAGCTCAACAAGAAATGAGAGGTTGCCTAAGTATGGTGGAATGGTGCCTGTGAGATCCATGGACGAGAGATTCAATGATGCTACTCTGAGGTGACGAGCACCACAAACAACGCCCGCCCAATTGCAAACGGAGGTGGTCGTTGACCAATTGACCAAGATGTTGTGAGGGTCACTAGTGACATGGGCTTTCAGAGCAAGAAGAGCAGACTGGTCCGTGGTGATGTTGGTTTGTGCTGCACCTACTGTGCCTAGAGAACTGTACTGCAGTTGCAGCACCAGCAAGAAGGTGATTGAGAAGAGGAAACAACTTCTCTCCATGACCATGAGCACTGAAAACAGAGAAGTTCCTTCCAACTTCAAATTGTTTTTCGTTTGTTTTTTCCTTTCCGATTTAGAACTTGAAATCATTGAATAATTTGTTGCAGTGCCAATATATGAAGGCAGAACAAGGTGCCAAAGAGTGGGGCACATGATTGCACCCTTGTGGAAGAAATTCGCAAGTAGCCAAATGCAACGACTTAGACTTGTAGGAAAGGAAGAATGGACAAATAGATTTAACGAAAGCAACTTACTTGGAAGTGGGGGTTTTGGCTCGGTGCAACTAACAGGGCCTTTCAAGAGCTTTCATATGGAATGTATGTTTTCGGTGTTAAATCCATTTGTCTGTTTGTTTTCATTGCAACGACTTAGACTTAGACTTGTAGTCTTGTAAGAAAGGAAGAATGGACAATTGGGCGCCTGTTTCCACGCGTCTTCACGTCAATCATGATTCGTGATATTCCGTCAATCATGATTCGTATATATATGGTCAATCAATCTAGTCTCCTTTCAGACCCCCCCAAAAAAATAAAAAAAATAAAAAAATAAATCCAGTCTCCTTCGCATAATGAGGGCCCTTCACTTTGATTATCTAGGCATAACGGGACTTAAATTCATTGCATCAGGTTATGGTGAGTTCATTCATAATCCATTGTTTTAAATTCATATCCCCAATAAACATCTCATTTGCTTTGTTGGCTTCCTTTTTAGTGAATGTTTTCATCTTCTATATATATAGCAAAAGATAGAGAATGGTGAAACATTCAAAAATCCCAAAATATTCTTGGTTAATTAAAAACACTAAAACAAAAATAAATATTCAATATAAATGGGACAAAATGGTCAACACGCTAACAGATTTAAAACATGGTGTTGATATTAAAAGTCCTTAATCAAACCTTTATCTTAAAATTTTTGTTGGTCAAGATAAAGCTAAAGCTAAACCTTTAACTTAAATTTTTATTTAATTAAAAGATGGTTGATATGAAGCCCAAGCTAAAGCTCCCTAGCCTACATATTTAAGTCAAGGAAAAAATTTCCCACTATCTTTAGCTTTTGAGTTTTTATTTCCTGTTCATGTCTTTTTCAGAAATATTTAGTTATTCTTTGTTTTTGGTAATCAAAATATTCAGTTATTCAGGCTCAATTATATAGAAAGCTCAATGATTTGAGCTTTTAGCCTAACGCTTGGTAGAATTTATACAATTTCAATTTTTAGCCTAACCATGTCATGATCAAGTAATATATTGCTTGGCTTCATATCACAGTGCACAATAGGTATGGAATATTGCTTGGCTTCCTCTGATACCAACTCGATTCAAAGT